TTCACTACGAAAGTCGAGAGATTTTCTGGACAGTGTTTTTGGTCACGTCGTATTTTTTTTCGTAATAGGGTGTGTTTGTAAACCAAATTATTCATTTCAAACTAATTCATACTCAAAATCTAACTCAATTAATAAAAGTTAACTCAATTTTAATTTAATTCCATAATCCTCAATATTATTAATATTAAATAATAACAATTAATCATTTTTACACATTATATCAACTTTAATTCACTATTAATCTATTAACATAATTTTAATTAATTATCACTTTATGTCATCTCTCTTAGATTAAATCAACTGTAATTATTTTATTTTAAATAATTAATATAAATTTAAAATCTCGTTAACAACTAATCATACTATTTTTTCTAAATTAACTCTAATTAACTAAAAAAACTCACAATTTATTGGTTTACAAACACACCCTAAGAGTTGAAAGGGTGTTAGAGAAAGTTTTTACATGGTTGGATTTGTTATTAAAGTTATTAATTATGGAATTAGGTAATCATAAGGACATATTAGGTGTATTTCCAAAACATTATGATGTATTGATGATTAGGATTTTCTTTTATATTACTAGAATATTTCTTTCATGCTCCTTGCGCAAAAGACAGATTAGATGGAAGTTTGGGATTTTCGTAACCAAGCTAAATATTTTATTTCTGTAATTAAATTTTAATTAATTTTATATGAAAAAAAAAATGCTATTTTAAGGTATTTGAGTGTTGATGATTGAGTTTAAATATAAACAAGCTCATAGTCTCATCATAGAGTCATACGTAAGCACAACACAATATTACTGCCAATCTAGCTCTTATCGTATCGATTAGGAAAGAAAGTATACACATGTTTTAGATAATTTGTTGGATTGAGTGAAATTTCGTTGATCAATTTTAGCCGATAACCAATGCATATGATTTTTTTTCGAGTCAAGAAATTGTAAAAAAGCAAAATTAGATTAAAAAATATTATAATTCCCAACTTATGGTCAATGAAAGGGGGCAGGAAAAAAAATGCTAGGACCTAACAATATAATAAGACGAAGTCGGTGGATATTTTGTCGAATGAAACATATTACAACTGGGCAATATACTGAGGAAATGCAGCCCACGTCCTCTGTAGTATCTTCTCATTACACCACGTTAGCACTTAGCACAGGCTGCAAATTCATGTGGTTCATTATAAGGGAATTATTATTATATTTGTTCATTTATTTTTTTGTTCTTTTTTGGCGGAAAAGGAATGTAGTAATATACTAATATATTAGCACCATTGAATTCGTAAACATGGCAGACTCGATCTGCTTCCACGAACTCGCATCACATGCAAACTCAGATCAGACACATATAAATTTTGTTTTTTTTTTTAAAAAAAAAACCCTACACAAAGATTGATTTCCAACTTTTCATATGAATAGATAAACCATGTCCACATAACAAAGATACATTTCTCTTTTGATACTTTTGTCTACACAAGCCCAAATGGGAATAAAACTGCCGATCAGGTCGAATGTCACGTGTAAAAATAGACGAGGGCATGGAAAGAATGCTGAAAAAAAAAAGAGTATAGGAAAAGGTACACTTTCTAAGCTGTTGTGAAATTAGAAGCTTGAAAACTAAAATCCTTGAATAGTAGTCATATTGGGACGATTGCATTCACAAGTACAGATGCTTCTGGATTCATTCACAACCCGCTGAGATCTTCTTGTGTGGAGCTTTATGTTCACCAACTTACCAGCCATCTGTTACACAGTACTAAGAAATAAGAAGTGTAGCAAACGCGCTATAAACTTGATACATACGATATGTGGAATCTGAAAACTCGTGCTCCATGTTATTTGCAAAACAAAAGCGTAAGAAAGCATACTCAGACTCGTAGATATATGTTCTTCTTTTTATTTTTCTCTTTTGGTCAGAACAAACAAGAACAATTTATATATTTTTTTCTTAAAGTGTTTTTGAGAAGTACAGCAACAAGTATTTTCATTGGTAAATCATACTGTTCGATTATTCAATAACCGAAGGGGCCCCAAAATGATAGTATCATTACTTGGATAATTTTACCACTAATTGGTAGAGGCAAATAGATACTCAACTACTTTAAAATGTAAGGGATCTGAATTTTATCATATCATCCCATGCATCAGACAAAATATACTAGCCAATAAAAGAATCAAATAAAAGATGGAGCAACAAACCATTCTCCAAACTAAGTCTTCTGGACCCAAAGGCAGTGCTGGATGGGAATACAAGAAATGCCTCGAGTACTGAAATAAGTTAAATGGACATAATTAAGCAAATGTTGTCCCAATAAAATAATAATTAAAACAAAACATTGTAGAAAAACCAGTGAGTTAGTTTTTACGGGAAACAACATAAAATCACAAGTTAACTTTGCCTATGAGTTGCAACGTGGACGTGATATTTAAAAAACAGAACATGCGAGGTGATGGAGCTCATACCTTGGCTAAATTCTGTTGCTTCTCTCTAATCTGTGCAGGAGAAATGGTTCTTAAATATGATAAGAGCCATCCTGGCTGTAAGGCATCACTAGAAGAGACGAACACAGCTATCTATCAAATAAACAAACGGCCTCAGTCACCACATTGCTAATATACAACGCTTTAAAAATAAATATCTAAAAACCCATCTCTTGCCAACTTTAAGTACAAAGTGAATGCATAGAGATAGATTCTGATTCTCGTGTAATCATATTCCTATCACCAAAGTTAACAATTTTAGCAACTAAATAGCGTGTAAAATTCGTACAGACAAACCACCAGAGAAGGTTTTATTATGTACCTTCCGATAATCAAGTATTCCTTCAAATGGAAGCTCAAGTTCGTCACTGACTATTACAGGGATGCACCGACTGACAATAGCATCAAACAACCTAGCAGATGAAGGAGTATCCCCTGCTGGACTAAGGCAAAAGATTGACCTGGTGAATAAAGAATAAAGCAAGTTAATCAGAAATTCATGTTTTGCCGGCCATATTTCTCAAATACTAGTGATTATGCAGCTATAGCTTTACTTGCGCATGCCCGCTTGGGCTGCAGCTTTTCCACCTTCTCCAGCAGTACCCTCCTCTATGATCACATCCTTGGCGCCACTAAGTTCCGTGACAAGTTTAGCACGGATTTTTCCACCCTATGAGCAAAAAAGGAAACCACTTCTTCTTAAGTATTTCAATGCACGCAGAACCCAGGGCAGGAGGATTCAATAAACCTTTATGAGGAAAAAAAAAAATAAAAAATCATGTGCATATACAGCAAAATCTTACAGCATTTCTTTTTAGCCTTCCCCGGAAAAATAGCAGAGTAGTTCTCTTGGATTCTAATGAACATTTGGCATCACACAAATCGACATTTGCAACATATGGAAGTATCAAGTCTTTCTCGAGGTAAACTTGTCCAGGCTTATACCTGAATTGCTAAAAAAGAATATGTTACACATCTATACCAAACTACCATATTGGGTTCTCTGCTGAGACATAAGGCATGTACCGACCAATTTCCTGTTGAGTCCATATCTGGAAGGAGCCAGATTGCATGTTTCATAAACTTTCTGACAGATTTAAATGACCACGGATGATGAACTGGTAAGATATGATCTCTACCCTCAGACCTCTTCCAAGCTGGTTGGTCTGTAACCCACTTTAAGGCTTCCTACTTGAGACAACATATGTATTAAAACTAGAAGCATATTTAACTCATGTTCGTAAATCTTCTAATAGATGGGGAGGCAAAAAAGCGCCACCGAAAGTTGTAATCATACACAAGGAAACACGAGAAACTTTAAAGAATAAGACTCCATGGTAAAGCACTCACACCCTATAAAGCGCCTTGCATTGTTGTTTTTCCAACAAGAAGAAGCTAATTGTGGTGAAAAAAGGAATGTAGAACAAGTCGGCTTCCTCCTGTTTGTATACTCTCACTACATTCTTCAACAACCTCTCTGACTCTGGTGCTATCAAATCCGCCCATAACCAGTAGTCTATTGAATGCTACAACCAAAAAAGAACTGGCACATGAATTCACAAGATAAGCACATATAAAAAAAACACTTATATCTGCATCAAGATCCACAATACTGAGCACATACAGTTGAAACTGACAAAAAGAAAAGCAAACTCTAATGGCATATTGAGCTGAAACCAGTTGTTCACAAAAGCTGAATAAATATATAATCACCTGCTCAATTAATCTATGAACTGGACTCCCATTGGAGGTGAGAGTAGCTGTCTCTTTATACGTAGTGTGGAACAGCCTGAGCAAATCGTACGTGAATTTGGACGGCATATCGTACACATACACCTTAACCGGAGAAGGAAACGGACTTCCGTCTCCATAAACACGTTTCTCCTCTCCTCGAGAGATCAAATCATCAAATATCTGCACGTCCCGGTCAGTGGCGTTCCTTCGAACTGTGTCGTCTAAAGCGTTAGAAGGCGATTTGGAGCTGTAACGAGTCAGGAATTTCTCGAGTGAGGAGACGAAGGAGTAATCGATGTTAGGTTTTCTAGCTGCGTGAATTTGGAGAGTTGGGGAAGAAGGATAAGAAGGGGATGAAAAGATGTAGAAAAGAACGGAAAGGAAAATGAGGGATATAGTGAAGAGGATGAGCGGAGATCGCCGGGATTTGGCGGCGGCGGCTGAATAGTAGTTTCTTCCGGCCATTTTCCGGTGGCTCCAGTGGCCTTGATTGCAAACTCCAACTGTTTGCTTTCCAAGTTCGGGACTCGAGGCGATTTTAGTTAAAAACTTAAAATCAAAAGAATTCAATTAATCTATATATATATATATATATATATATATATATATATAATTGCTAGCTAAGCAATAAATCTATTTACTATATAATTAGACAACACTTTTGTTAAAAATAGTAAGTGTTTAGTGGGTCCCTCATCATATTACTATTTATGGTAAGTTAGTTTTATTTTTTTTATTATTTTTTTAAAACGTGTTCACTGTTCACCTTGCATTAATTATTTTTTTTAATTTTTAATAATAGTTTAACAGTTAAAGTGGATCCAAATTTGTTGTCACTTATAGATAGGCAGTTTAAAATATATTTTCTGTTTTGATTTCTCATAAATATCAAAGTAATTTTCTTTTTACAAGTACATAACATGTTGAATCACGGTGAATTATTTATGATGTGTATTAAATAATAATTTATATTTAAAGCCTTCCTAAAAATATGAATATACTAGATAATAATATGGTACTTATTTACATAAAAGAATGGTGTACAAATAAAGAAATTGTAATTACATGTATATAAAATAATAATTAATAAATAAAATTACGTTATAAATTATAAAACCACACAAGCTATTAGAAGGGTTTTTTTCTTCTAAAAAATAATGTTTTTTTAATAAAAAAAAAAAAACTTGAGATTGGTCTTTATACCAGCAAAGAATATGTTTAGAATGCTAATAGGGTAAAAAAAACGAAATTATTAAAGCATAACAAAAATTTGATAAAAGATCTTCCTACATATTAATTAGTGCATAGATATATTTTCAGTTTTAAGATAAGTGAATTAGTACCGATGAAATCGTGGAGAAGTTGGAGTTCCATAACCACCACGATTTAGATAAACTAGCAAATTGAGTTTGCGTATATGTTCACATGATACAACTGCTAATATTTAAAACCTCAATTTTTAATTTATATGATAATGATGTTAACATGATAACATAACATAATATTGAGAAAAATAAATCAATTACACCATATAGTGGTTCTGGCGCATAACATATAACATAATGAAGAAGTAAAGAGAAGGATCTTTATTGTTTAAGTAGCAACAAAATTTTGAGAGAAAATCCATGAATTTTAAAGAGAGAGAGAGAGAGAGAGAACATATGTGTAAAGTTTTTAAGGACGAAAAAAAAAAATAGAAAATGAGAGAAGTTAACCATTATTTCTTTCCCTATAATATTGAAAATAATAGAGGCCATATAGAAAAAATCCAGCTTCAAATAAGATCTATTGATTTGTAATTTGTTAAAGGAAAAAAAAAAAAGATATAGTCTATCTATTACATAAATTATTCATTATATCAACACAATCATATATAATGTGTTTTTAAGAAATAATCCCCAAAAAATTCAATAAACGTCTCAGTCAAATAAGTTAGTCATTTTTATCCAAAAAAATGATACTATTTCTCAAATTTTGCATATAATGAGACAAACATGGATAAATCTCTTTTATATTGTAAAACTTTATGGGCGAACTATGAAATTAGGTGCTTCATTTATGAATTTAAAAGGCATGCAATGGTCTTTTCATTTAAAGAATGTCATGGCTCATTATTTGTTCATTTACATAAACATTTATGTAAAAGACACAAGATATTAATATATGATGAGAAATAGAATATACAATATAAACATTGTATATAGTAATCTATTTAATTGTCTATAAAAATTATTTATTCTATTTATGTTTCCTTATTTGATTTATTTTGAATTATTCCATTGCACGGGTCACGATACTAGTTTTACCTAATAAATAAAACCTAATAAATTTTACCTATGTGGCAAATCATTAATAAAACCTAATAAATAGAACCTCATAAATTTTATTTATGTGGCATTAATACACCCAATCTCATTAATAAGAAAATATTTCATTACATTTTTTGAGTTAATTAAGACAAAAACCATTATATTTTATGTTAATTGATTAATAATTATATTTTTTATTGAATAATATAATAGTTAATATTAAAATTAGTAATTATATTTTATACTAAATAATATATGAAAGTTACATAAAATTATATTTTACACTAAAATCAATATTTTTTTTATATGATGAAGATGTTGTTCATAATAAATGTAATATTTTTCAGCTAATTATTTGGTCATGATCACTCAAAATTATAAAAAATATATATTTATTGCATTTTATGCAATCAATATAGTGATTCGTATACAATCAAATCGTGTGTACTATTTATTTTAACCAATGATCAAATTTTAAAATATAATACTATTATATAATTTATAAATTTAATATTATATACATAAACATAACTTATAATACTATATGTTTGAAATATAATACAATTATATAACTTATAATTTTTATATTATATACATAAATATAACTTATAATATTTAATTTTATTTACATTTGTGCAAATGCACAAGGTCGAATACTAGTTAATTGTATAATCGAAAATTATTATTTTGATATTATTACTTCCACTATTTTTTCCTTAAACCTATATATGCTACAATTATTCAATTTTTTTTAAGTGCAAAAGCCATTTGACGTCATGATTAGAAAATTCTATGTAAAACGTGAAATTTTAGTTGCATTTATGAATTTGTGCAGAAGGGCCAAAATGCCCGTTGTGTGGGACGTAATAAGCATTACTATAAGCTATCAAATTCGCAATAATCTCTATTTATTAGGTTGTGAACTTGTGATTTGATACGTCAAATATTTATTTTGATAATATCCTATCTTATTTACATTATAAATAAAACAAAAGTTTATACATTTTCCCATTTTTCTATCTCTATCATCCAATGCACCAAATTTCCCTTGCCCTCTTAATTCCACCCAACACTACAAGTCACAACAATGCTTCTTAAACATACATAAAATATTTCAGTTCTTCTTTTGAAATAGTTATCAAACTTACGTTTACATGTAAGAAGAAGAAGAACAACAACAACAATAAAAGGTCTCAAAGCAGTCATATTCCTCATCTCATCAGTAACAGAAAACATCATCAAGACCACAATTCACAAACATCCTCAATATACCCAAACTCCACAAATCTGTCAAGGCCAACACTAAACATGCATGAACATCAACAAATTTTCCAATACCAAACATAGGAAAAGAAAAGGAAAAAAAAAAAAAAAAGAAAAAAAAAAAAAAAAACAGAAAAGAAAAGTTTGATATATAATATTCTCAAAACGAGATGAGATCATCTTTCGATGGCTGAGATTTCTTCCCTTCAACTCCCGACTCGGAGGTCCCACCACCGGCTTTCTTACCAAAGATCATCTCATCAAGATCGTCCAACATGTCATCATTGTTGCTATTCCCTCCATGGCTTCCGGGCCGTGGGCCCGAAGTTTTTCTAACGAGAGTCTCTTCTTTCCCAGCCCGTGGGGACTCATCGGGCTCCACTGCAACTGGTATCATGGCAGGCTCGGGTTCCTGTGGGACATCGAGGGGCTTTTTCATTTCCTCGTATTTGGACAGGACTTTCTGGATCTCGTCATTCACGTTCAGTGCTTCAAACAGAAGGGCCTCATTGTCCCCGGCTGTCTCGATTATTGTCTGAACAGTGTATTGGGACTGGCGGCATTGTTGTAAAAGTGTGACGGTTAAATCGTCCTGTGTGAAAAATTTTGGAAGATTGTGAGATACACATAGGCTGTGTTTGTTTAATAGCTTTTTGGCCTTAAAAGAGCTTTTTGAACTTTTTAGCTGTTTGACTTTTTACAATCAGCTGAAAAATATGTTTGGTAAACAGCTTTTTCAATTAGCTTTTTTGGCCCAATCCGCTAAAATGGAAAACGCTGCTTTTCCTAGCGTTTTGATTCAGCGGTTTGAGAAAAAAGAATTAAAAGTCTTAATTGCCCTTTTATTATGATATTCATACCACATGGGACGTAAGTCAAAATCGTCTTGGATTAAAATAGTGCACTGCTCTTAACTTTTTATTCAAACCTATAGCAATAAAATATATATCACGTTTTTTATATTTTAAAAATAGAAATAATATTTCGTTTGTTAAAATTATAACTAATGTTACATAAGAAAAATATTCAAATATAAAAATGTAATTCCAACTAATTCTAGTATAATACTTAACAAATAATTTTACCAACCTTTTTTTCTAAAATTTTAAATATATATAATTTTGGTTACTTAGATGTACATGGAAACTTTAAGAAATTGTTAATGTAAATTTTAGTTACTTAGATTTTCTTTTATATTTTTTTTTCAATTGTTATGAGAGATATCAAAATTGGCTCACATTTATTTTCTTAAATAGTGATGACTTGTTATTAGTTTTGTTTATGGGACGTGAACTTATTTACTCAATCAAGAAATATTTTTGTTTTATTATTATTTATATTTTTATTATATTTTAAATCACTTTAAATAAATATTTAAAATATTAATTATTTTTATTTCCTATATAATTATAAGTTCAACATAAATGATAACGATAAATTATGTTGATGTCCTTATAAGTAATTTTGCATGTTAACAGCTAATTAAAAATAGCTAATCCTACCAAACACTCTTTTACAAACCGCTAACACAATCATTTAGTCAAACCAGCTAACGCAATCCGCTGGTCAAAACAGCAAATGCAATCAGCTAACAGCTATCAACTAACCGCTGATTACCAAACAAGGCCATAAGCTAAATTCATTTGTCCCTTTTGCTTTTATTCTCCGCTTGTATGTACTAAATATTTCGAAAATTCTAGTTTGACGAGTATTCTACTCAACCATATTGAGACTATCTCTACAACTCTACGTTGTTAAAAATTATGTTGGGTATTACAAATAGTTCATAAGTCCAACTCCAACTCTTAAACAAAGTTAATGATCAAAGAAAATAGTCAGCAGAGAGAGAGCCTGAAAATTGTTTGTGCAGGTCCAGACACTTTAATTAATACGGTTGCTTCACATAAACCTGTACAAACGTACAACGGCTCAATCTTTGAACAAACTAGTTCTCAAAGAAAAAATGTTAAAAGCGAAATGATTCACGCTGAACCCGCAAAATCTGACATAAAATACGATGAATTACGAGAGATTGACCATGTCCCTACTTACTCATGATAAGGTCGACAAATTACCAACTAAGAAAATTTCTTTGTAAATGTTATACAGGTATGTAAAAGAAGCAAACACACAGTTCCACAAAAGTAGGAGATACTTCAAATGTTGATTGGCGTGAAAAATGCATACCAATAGTTTTTGAGTACCTGCAGGGCATCTTGCTGAGGGGAAGAGGTCAGAACAGTATTAAGAAGCTCGATACTGTTTTTGGCCACATCAAATGCTTCCTTTGTCTGTTCAGGGGAAAAAGTCTGCACAGGAATATCGCGATGGAGTTGTTGTGCAAGTGGAGCATTCGGTTCTGGAGCCGAAACAGATCTTGCAGGAGTAAATATTGGAGCCAGACTCTCGTTATCTCGTCCAGGAAAACGTACCCCTCTCGATTTCAAACTCTAGAAGAAAAAAAGCAGTAGTTGCTTCATGCATATTATATGCTAAAAAGAAAAAAAATAATAATAAATAAAGGAAGGATGAGAGGAAAATAGAGAAGAAAAATCAATACCAAGCATTATCCATCAATTACATCAAAGATATTGAATGAGGCGGTCAAATTTTCCATGGCATGTAACCACAAAATGGTTTCAAAGTAATATGATAGCACAGACTTAAGCAAATGTTCCTAATCCTTCAATAATCAAAATTTAAAGCAAACACTCTCCCGATCCATAACATGTGTACATTTGAGTCATAAAATAATCACTGGATACCATATATTCACAAAATTGTTTAAATGCAATAATAATCCAAGTAAAANAAAGGAAAATAAAATGCAGCAATCAATAAAGTGGCTCTACCATTTATGAACTCTCACTGTAAGTTGCAAAAGAAAGCAACGACGAACAACAGGCGAAAGAGCAAAACAATTTGAGACCACTTAAACAGCTTGAGTGTACCTTATAAGTCTCTTCATAAACGGGCAAGTATCTCAGCTCGTTCGATGACTCACCCCATGACTCGATCAACATGAGAGCCTTACTCCGATTATTCACAACAGTTTGCGGGTCATCAATCAGCTTCACCATCTCATCAAGTACCCTCTCGGCAGCAACCTCCGAAAAGGCTTTTTCGCAATTCTTCACGACAGTTTCGAGCAAGACCAGAGAAAGGTACTGAACCCTAGCGCTTTTCAGCATGATCCTTTTCTTTATTCCCCTAATTAGTTCGACACTATTGATTTTGTCTTGGTTGATCATATCACACAGCTCGAGGTTCGTGGCCCAGTCAGGCTCGTCAAGGGTCTCGGCTGTGGCTTCCTCCACAAGCTTGTCAGCTTGGTTAGCGCCCTGAAAAAATTCCTTCATCTTGAAACTCATCGAGCTCATGCCAGCTGTGATCTTCTGCCCAACCTCAGACCCTCCGATTTTCAGGCGCTCACCGAGAGAGTTGACTTTGTCCATCAAATTATCACTCATGTTTTTGTTAGGCTAAATTATCTGGAATAAACGCGAATAAGATTACATACACATGAAATCCTTTAAATAAGATCTAAAAATGTGAAAGATGCTGATTTTATATATCTGAATTTTCAATGGAAAACGCCCCATAATTGGGGAACAGTTCTCTAATTCACTATTAAACCCCGCTTGCTACTTCTATTGTAACAAAGGAAGTCAAAAACCCTAGAAAAAAAAACGCTCTTCAATCAATCATGAAGCAGTTTTTTCGTAATTCATTGGCCTCCAGCCACACCGATCGTACCCATCAATCTGAAAGTAAGGAAGAATTCTACGATTTTCTTAA